TTGTCACCCCTCTCATTGCTTCTCTCCAGTCATCCCCAGCTGATGCGTTTTCCAAAAGTGCAGATACCACGTCCCAAGGTTTTCTGCTACCACATGAGGAAGAGGGACCATGCTATGTATCTTACAGATTACATTCCTGTTCATACATTCCACAGCCATGTTTGGGKTTTTTTTTCAGGAACAGGATGCTGTTGAATCATGTTCAGCTGGTGACTGGCTATAACCCCAGGAGAGCTCTTCTGCACAACTGCTACCATAGCAGCCTGTCCTGTCCCATCCTGTATTTGTTCAGCCCATCGTGGCTTYTGCTGAAGTGTACAAATACACATTTGTCAAATCCACCGCTGGATTTACTGCATCACATGCTAACTCTTTTGAAGTTGTCAAGTTCACTTTGACTTGTGTTTGTCTTCTGCTCAGTCAGTAGTTAGCTCAAGTCTGRTGCTCCTTACAATTTAATCAGCATATCACATCCAAATTGTTAATGAAAATACCAAATAATCTCAAATTAGAGCAGAACTGCAGAGAATCCCCCTCAGTTATATCTCTGCAAGTGTGAATTTTAAATTATTACTCTGAGTAGGGTTTTCCAAACAGTTTTTATAATCTTACTTTTAAATTGGCGTCAGACCACATTTCCCTGCTATCTGACATAAAGTCATTAGAGACACTAGAAATAAAGCTGTGCTCACTGCTTCTCCTCTGCTCAAGGAGCTTGTTAACTTGGTGCAGATTAACAGTATTTGATTTTTCTTTTAGAAGCTCATTGATACGTTTCCCTTTTCCATTAGTTTTCCAGTTTCAACTATTGACCCCGAGTTCTGAGCAGGCAGGAGGAAGCAGAGACAAGCTGAGCCATCAGAGGTTACAGCAACGCCTTTGTCTCTAATGCTGGAAGTGATTTACCWCTTGGGGTGTCCGACTTAGGCACGAGGATAACTCCAGTTGTTGTGTTTATGCTGCAATTCCTTACAGCAGGGCAAGCAGAGCTTGTCTCAGTGAGGACCTGAGAGGCCTCAAAGCATTCACTGCTCTGCTCTGACATCAAGGACAATGAAAGTCTTTTCCTCTTGTGCCTATGGGTACCCCCTCCATTGCTGGAAGATTTCAGTGTCCAGCTACTCCAGTGAGAAATCACATCCATGAAACAGAGCTAYTCAACAACATCCTGCACGTTCTTCAAAAGCTCTCAGCTGACTGGATTAAACCACGAAAAATATCCAGAAAATTAAGTAAACATGCATCCAGTAATAATTTCCATGGCATCAAAAGCCAAGTGATGRAACTACTCCCATCATAAACATTGGTATATTAGTCCTAAACAGCCTTTTCAGGAAACCTTTGCAAAGGAGGATCACAGCACCAATAATTACRTTCTGGGGTTGTCCTGTGCCAGGCCAGGARCTGGACTCAATGATCATTGTGGGTCCCTTCRAACTCAGGATATTCGATGATTCTATGACTTAATCAGCAAGACCTGATCATTTGGCAACTCCTAACTGAACATGATGTTTGAAATTTTTTTCTTGACACTGAAGTCAGTGCAGATGGGATATGATTGTTCTCAGATCACAGTAATTATCTACTATGTTCATTAAATCAACTCCTTGTTTAAGGTRATGACATAATAATAAAATCTTCATCAATAGGGCAATAGTACCCTTCTTCTTTTGAATTTTCCCAGCACATTTCTTGATAGTTTAAAATCACTGAAAGGTATTGCTGTCTTGCTCTAGGCAGTTACACATTTGGACAAATCCAGTGATTTCCAAGAGATCCTTTGCTTTATTCATGTCTTATGCTACATTTCTATGGTTCCAAAGTACATCCTGGATGCAGCTGCTCRTGTGCAGTGTGATTAACTTGCACTGTCATAGAACCCAGCTGGCAACTTGGCCACTCACCCACTGCCCTTCCCAACTGATGGGGGAGAGAACTGGAAGAGTAGTGAGAAAACATGGGTAGTGATAAGGACAGTTTAATGGACAGAAAAGTATGTAAATAACAATAACAATATAATTAGAATATATAAAACAGGTGATGTATAATGCAACTCTTACCACTTGCTGATGCATGGTCAGCCAGTTCCCGAACAGCAGCCCTGTCCAGCTTTCCCCCAGCTGATGACACCATATGGTAGKGAATAACCCTTTAGATCAGCTGTGCTGGCTCTCTGCCCTCCCAATTTCTTGTGTCCTCAAGCCATGAGAAGCTAAAAAGTCCTTGACTTAGTATAAACACTACTTAGCAACAACTAAACCATCAGTGTGTTATCAACTGTATTGTTACACCGAATCCAAAACACAGCACTGCTAGATGAAAATGAACTTGTCCCAGCTGAAACCAAGATATACTCTGCATTCCCTTGGTCTCTTAGTTTAAATTCACTCTTGGTTAAAAAAAAACAAAACAATGAGAGTTCTTGAAAGGTGAGAAAGGGAACCTCCAGCAAGTCAGTCACTTTGCATTAAGTCGTGGTAAATCCAAAGCAGCTTACCCAGTGCAGAGTTAGGAACACCAACACACAATTGCCACCAAGTGCCACACTGTAAGCATGATGCCTCCTCAYCTCTCTCCTGGTAATGTTTTCCTGGGCCTATAACCTCAACAGGAAATACTGCATTTATGCATTAAAATGACAGTTTCAAAAGTGATCTTTTGGAAAAAGGACAGATATGCAAAAATGAAATTCATAATTCATTTATTGAATATATATATGCAAGGATACCATTAAAAAGAAACTAATACTGCAAACTACAACTTTGGAAGTAAAGCCAATATAACAGGAACAAAATATACATAACATTGTAGATAGGAATGCATTTACCCTCTTCCATACATTCCTTGTCTTTACACCTAATGTAAATGTATGCTAGAGCAAAAGCTGTAAAAGTTGGCCTAACCTGAGTGCTTTCTGACAAGCAACAGCTCTCCAGGATTTSTTAAAGGCTGAGATGTCACTGCTGACTAATGGCTGTGCACACATATGCACATGTAGGAACTGCTTCACCAAGTATATAAATCAAGGGCTGTGTCCTGGTTTTTTCACCTCCATCACTAATATAGTGGAATCTGACTCTGGTGACATGGAAGAAGAGTTACTAATTGCTATCAAGTACTTTCAGTTCTCTTCAGATTAATTTCATCTAATGAGTATTAATTTTCTTGTCAATCTGATTCAGCGTATTAATATTTTTGGAATGCACTGATTATCACCTGCCAGATAAGTCTGTTATTTCAAATAGATTATCACCTCTTCATTTTTCACTCCATTTCAGCATGAAGTTTTTTTTCCTATAGGCAGGAGTAAGAGGCAAACTCTCTTCTGCTTTACTACATTTTAGGGCCAGATTTGGCAGACTCAAACCATTGCAGATCAGCACAGCTCTTTGTACATAAAGCTGAGACTTTGTGGAGTGTAGGTGTGACTCCCACTAGAGCCTTATGACAGAACCTCCTGTGGATCAACTCCTGCTGAAGGACATTTTCTGCTCACCTCATGCTAGGGAGCTGAACTGACACTGAAGCAGCCTTTCCCCTTCCCTTAAATGGAGGGACAGCACAGCCCACTGCTGTGGGGTTTGACCACACCTTGGGATCTGGCATTGCACCAGCTGTATCCTCAAGATATGGAGCAGTATCCTTGTTTGTGCTGTTATCCCTCCTTGGTACAGTCCTTTCTGGGAACAGCATTATCACAGATCTGTGAGACCACAGAGACACAGTGTGTTGGGGAGATCTCTTAATGGAGAGGTAYAGGGAGCTGGGGAGAAACCTCCCTTCTCAGAGGGTTCCAGGCATCTTAAACAACACACAGTCCTCTTGTGAGCAAAAGAAATGCCCCAAGGCAAAAAATAACAATAACAAAAATTTTAAAAAATTAAATAAAGTGAAACCAGTTTTTTAAGACAAGTTTGGTTGAATTCATGATGTTGAATTCTCTGATTGTGAGATGAAAGCAGAAGGTGCCTAGTAAAAAAAATCTCAGTAACGAATTGACTGTATTAATTTAACTAGCTAATTTAAACATATCTAGTTCACCTACAGAGCACTTTCATTGTTTCTAACATTTCTGGGAAGGCAGTAGATGCTCCAGAGTAATCTTCAATATATGCTTGCACAGATTACATTGCTTTACCAAAAAACAAAAAACAAAAAACAAAAAACAAACCAAAAAGAAAAAAAACCAAACCCCCAAAAATTCAGACAGACTGTCTGAAATTCCAAGCTAAAATACACATAAAAAGATAGTAATGGCAGTATTTTGTCTTTAAAAAAAATGATGTAAATGTTGTATACTATCATACATTGTCATGCTTTTTAAAACTACAATTAAGGACATAAGAGATGTACAGTAAATACACTGCTGAGGTACATTTCTTCTAAATATTAACACCACGACAGAATTACTCCCCAGCAGGTGATGCTACTTGGGAACATATAAATACAATTTTTACATTGTAAGGCACTTATACCCAGCATACATGAGTTGAAGTCAGTTATGACAAATTTGAGGCTTGTAAGAAAAGGTTTTTGCTTTTGACTTTGCTTCCATGAATTCTGAATTGATGACAGTTTCGCCAAGCCATTTCAGCACACAGGGGTAACAGGGTAAAACCAGCCACTCACKTTTCTGCTACCTGAAGGTAAAGTGCTGCTCTGGTTCTTTGAGGCATGGAACAGGGTCATTTATCCGTAACAGGTGAATAATTGGACTGAATACTATAGTAAGCCACTGATACACAATGAAWTAGAGCTCAGTCTGAAGTACAGTCAGTATGCTGGCAGATCTACCCCATGCAAACTTAGTTAAATACAGTAGCTGCAAACAAAGTGCCTTTTTTCCATGGGAGGGCCATGTCTGAGGCACGAATTGAAGTAATTTAAATACTGAATGATGCTATTTTTCATTCTCAAACTGTTCTGAGTGGCTGAAAAATGTTCCTAATTCTAGGAGAAACAAAACACCTTRATAGACAATTTCAATAATGGATCTGTCATTGCAATTCAAGTCACGCTTTTAATTTTGAAAGTTACAAATACAAAATAAAAATGATCAATGGCATCATGTTTAGAGCAGTAACTGAATATTTTCTGTACACAGCAATATTTCTTTCCAAACGGCATTATTCTCCAGGAAAGCAAACAGAACTGATTGAATTCTAACAGGTAAAATGTTAGAAACTCCAATATACAGTAATTGAGTCCCTCAAGACATTAAGGGAATGCATAAGAAGACAAATGACACACGTTAAATCKTTTAAAAATACAAGTAAAAAATGCTACAGAAACTCATATTACAAATGAACCGTTTTTGCAATACCAATCACAGAAGAACTGTAGCAGTTTATAGTCAAATCAGTGTCTTTTGCTTGTTTCCTTCCTTCAGATCCAGAAGTTTTGTTGGGAGTTCAGAGTGAAACAATTCAAAACCCTAAACAAACAATAAGGTGATGCGGTAGCAACAGACAAAACATGTGGACTAGAWTCAGCTTTTTGGTTTTATTTAAGTAAGTCTGAGGATGTGCTTTAACAGACCAATTGTAGAAGCCAGTAGCCATTAGAAATGACAAGGTGTTTTGAAAGCAGTCAGAGGACTGTTCTGTTACGTTTGGTATAGCCTAGATATGATCATTCCCTAAAGGAATATCAAATTCTAGCAAGTAGAATTCCATGATGTGATTGTTGACTTGACAGAGAGGAAAAAATCACTAAAACAATAAGGATGATTCGTGAAGTTTCTCATATAGTGGTCATATGATTAAAAAATAAATACCAATCTAGCAAAAAAAAGGCTGTTTCCTCATTCTTCTTACAGAATATGGGACCTTTATGCATMTTCTTGACAAAACATGAAGTGTTCCACACAACAGAGAACACCTGAGGTATGGACGTCAGATATGGTGGCTAAWTTCCATTGTGAGTTAAGAGTTGTAACTCTCTGAAGTAAAAGAGATTGGGCTGCAAAGTCCAAACATCTGTCTAGTAAGGTTTTAATCACACTTGGTGAAGTGTTCTTTGTAAATCAGGACACAGAGAGGTGGGTCGTTGGGGAAAGAATGAACTACAGCCCTTTGGCATGAGTTCTAAAGCTCACAGCTCAGAACCAACAGCTGCTCAAGTACATCTCCCGCAAACAATGCTGGGCGGAATGAGCAATCACAACAGGAACAACCTGAAATGTTCAAGCGTGCTTCGTGTACACCGAGTCCTTTCCTACTGGGTGCTTCCCAAGCAAAAACAGCGCGGCTTTCCCATGTACAGCCTCCGGAACTTGTGCAGGAAGAAAATGCAAAATTCACAAAGTACCAGCTCGTTGCCACCACGGACTTGTCCATGTTGTTAATTAAACTAGCTAAGACCTTCCCTCATTGTGTGAATCCACTAAACAACTTACACATTCCAAATCTTAAGGTTTTTATTCAGTCCAGAAATATAGATCTTACTTCATTTCAATGTCTGCCTTAACTTTTGACACTGTACATATTACATATCATTTATATAGTGTTTCATTTTTTCCAGACACTGCAGACTACAAACTACATAATATTGACATGTAAAACTCTGCCACTTACTGAAGGCTCACACACATGAACGTTTCAGGCAGTTCAATGAAATTTCTAACAGAGCCGGGTAGTAAAAAGTTACTAACCCTTTTCTGATTTTTAGAAAACAATTTAAAAGAATTAGTAGTTATGATGTCTTAGCCATTCCCAGTTCTATAACTCTGTCCCTTGAACCTGTTTAAAAAATGATGAAAACAATAGTAAATTTAAAATCATACAGAAAAGCATTTCGCAGCTCTGACATTACATCTACATTTAGCAATAGAAATGAGGGCCTTTCTTCTTACACTGTTACAAAGTCAGCTGKATTTAAAAAACAACAAATCCTCCCCATCCTTCTACAGTATGCCAATAAAAAGTACTCTGCATACACTAGATTTAAATACTTCACTGCAATAAACTACATTAATTGKATATTGTGTTTCAGTCTTGGTAACAGATCTGTCAGGAGTAACTTCCATACCTAGTTTCCATTGAGCTGCTGCTGAGGAATGTCATTATGGTCAGTGCCTGATTTGCCACGGCTTTTGCTTTCTCTTTCTTCATCCTCTTCATCTCTTTCATCATTTCCACTATGGTTTTTACAATACAGTCTGGCACAATAAAAGAAACAGTGAGGATTTACACTGAAAATATCCATCAAAACCTGACTTTTAGTAAGTTCTGAGATGTGCTACAAGTCAGTTGCAAACTCTTAAGTCATTAATGGTTTTCAGTCAAGTGTTAGTTAAACTGAAAGGGAAAACAAGRTTCAAGAGCAGCCAACAAAACTGTGACCAATCCCAGTTTTCCAGAACTGCCACTGCACTGCTCAGCGAATGCCCTCTCGTGGGCACAGCACAGCAACTCAGCTGCAGCCAAGTCACAGCTCCTCAGGAAGGATGGAAAGTTATGGGGTCCAAAAAGCCCCACAAGGAAGCTACRGACAGATTAATATGGAGGAATCAATTTTCTTGATCTAAATTATAAATTTCTGGAGAAGCAAAATACAGTACAAGTCAATTTTCTCATTTCTTGTATTATGACACTACAGAAATTTTCAATTAGCAGTGTAACTGAAATATTTTGTAAAGTTAATGATTACTTAAAAATATMATTTTAACTTAAATAATATCCTCTTTTTTAAGAATCTATTTACTATCCAAGTTAGGCAGAAAAAGTGTCATGTAATATCTTTACTTTCATAAGAAATTCCACAATTAYACAGGTCCTTACTTATAAATTCCTCGTGACATATTCTCAATGTATTTAGCTTTGTCTTCTACTCCACAGTGGTAATGGTATGTTTTTATGCAGGCTTTGATTTCACACCCAATAGTAGCACCAGGCTGGCTGCAGAGTGTGCATTTCTGTGCAGGGGAAAGAAGAGAACAGCAACATTCAGCYTCTCAGTCTTTTGTCTCTTAGGATTCAGCTTAGTGTTCCTCATATTTATGGCTAACCTTTTGGAACAGAGTAATTCCTCTGGCAGATCATCCTTCCAATGAAAAGTTAATCAAAGACATGGTAAACCAGAAACTATAAMATACCAACCCATTAAAATATCAACACTAGGATTTACTATCCCTTCCATAGAAAATTGCTATATGATTGCAATACATGTTATTGAATTTTTAAGGTAATTTTACTGCCGAAGTTAGTATGCTAATATATGAATAGTCTTATTTTTTTCAAGGGACAATATTACTAATTGTTTGCTCTCTCCCTGACCCCCCATAAATTTCTTAGCACATTAAAAACATCCTGAATTTTAATAAAATACAGTGTGATGTTTTACCAACATCCTCATCTCTAAGACTTTAAATAGGTTTTCCTACTAAAACACCAAAACAGTTCGAAACACCGGTTTGTTTTCAATATCACACAATATATTCACTGAAAGAACTGCATATTCTCCAATTTTATATGCAGCTTCACACTGTGTGTTTTTAGTMACACAGGCCCAAAGCTGTTACTCTCTTAGTTGCAGCATGGCTATTATGAATCATATGATTCTATTACAATAATAATTATGTACATTGTSATAAAGAATCCCAAATACCACATGCCCAAACACCACTAATTATGATAGGTGATTCCTATCTGGCTGCCCTTTCCACAAGTAACAACATATTTTAATTTTGTGTTTAGAAACAGATGGAAAAGATTGCTCACAAAAGGATGGAGGCAGAGCTACACACACCTACATTAACACATTCACCACATTCTGCAGGTACATACCATTCTTTTTCCTCTCTTGATTTCTTGAAGTACAGTTTTGATATCAAAATCACCAAACTCTGCCCTTGAAGTTGTTGTTAGCTGGACAGTGCCAGAAGAGAACAACTGTAAAACAAGCAAGTCAAAACAATGTCAGGTCACCAACATGATTGGAAATTTTTCTGGGCAGGAACAACTGAGCACTGAACATCCTGTTTTGTGATCTCAGATAGCATGTGCTTTACCAACAAAGTAGGAAAAACCCTGTGCTGAGCAATTAAACTCCTGATCCCCACCTGACTGCTTTAATTACAGTCGTTGCCTTGGAGAAATATATTTCAAAAGACAGAGGAATAGACGAGAAATAAAGACAGGATGAAAACAAAGCAGCAAAAGGGCAGTATTATGAATTACACTAGTTAACTTTTTAGGAATATTCCATTTCCTTCCCTGTGACATATATGTAATTCAGGTTCATGGCACCCTGATGTCAATATGGCAGTGATGTCCTGAGAGATGACAACAGAGCACACAAGTACCATCCCTTCCATCRTCATCCTGGTATATTCAGCTTTAACTGTCTTAAAACTGAAGTTCAGGTACACAAAGCAGCAAAGAACTTTGCTAGGTAAGACTCAAAGCTGCTGGCACACACAGCTCTCTGTTTAGTGAGGCTGGGTACTCAAAATCAATGGTACTCCACAGATTGCCTGGATTATTTTTTTCATTTTGAGGTACAACATTTTGAGGTACAACTTAAGTTGGTTATCCTCAGAACGAGTGATATGAAAGATGGCACTGTCTGCTCATGTTCATTGCAATTAGATCCTATTCAAGTTGACAGTTCTGTAAATGTGATCATCTAAATACAAGAGCTTTCTAGAACTTACTTATCCAACAGTCTACTTAAAAAGTCACACAGCCTGAATCCACAGGTCAGAAAATTAATGAAGTTCATGGAATCCTCTCAGATTGTGCCCAAATGCCTGTGAAGTTGTTTTATTTTTGGAGTGGATTCTTTTAGTTAGAACTGTTTTGTTTTCCTTTTTAAATACTYCATATGCATTTAGACGCTAAGGGAGCATTTTTAATAAGCTAAAGAGTCTCCCTGAGCTAATTCCATCTCTTAGCATGAAGCCAACTTTTATTCATATTGCCTGCAGTGAAAATAAATGAATTGCTCACTTTGCAACACTTCAGTGGTTAAGGAGATCATCAGCATACAGAGACAATACTCATGCATAATTACATCTGAGGGTACTGTATTAAAATCCAAAATAACAATTCAGGCAAAATTCACAGAATACACTGGTTAACAACAATACTGTTACTCACCATGCACTTATAGTGTGCTGCAGCCTTTTTGGCATTAAATATATGAAGCTTTCCTCTAGCTTCATTTTCTTCTTCACCTGCATGACAGAATCCACATTTAGGTTTTGTATCACTGGGGCTGCTTCTGTGGGGAGACCTGTCTCTCTGAAAGAAAAACATTTTACTAAAATATACTGCTGGGTTACAAATAAGGTTGCAATTTTAAAAGCCTGTGGCCACCAGCTGGAGGCTCAGACAAATGCAAATTTTAATAAAACTTATATTTCAGAGAAGAAATATGCAATTTTGTCCTCTAAGAAGTTTAGCATATTTACTGCTTACATAGGAACTGCTTTCTATTTCATCTGTGCCATGTGAGGACGTGGATCTAGTGTCTTCTGACTGCCCTTTTAAATTTGTTTTTCTTGGCTTTCCCTTACGACCCCTCCTTTTTCCTTTGGGAGGTGAAGGCTCCAACTCGTGTTCATTGATATTTTCTTCTAGATCTGCTTTAGAAGTCAGAAAACATCATTARATAAGATTCCCCAAAATTTTGCACAGAACAAACTACAAAAAAACAAACCCAAACCAAACAAAAAGTCCCCACAACCTACCAAAACCATGTAAGAAAAAACACAGCTTGTATTTTCTAAATTTTGGTCAGAAATGCAAATAGCATCTTTTTCCTATTTATTACAAACATGCAACTGCAGATCCTGAAAACTTTTTTTTAGACGTCACACAGCTTTGTATCTTTATGACATAATATATGAAGGTTTAGTGTTTCTTACTTCTACTTTCAGACCTAAAATGTGTCCTCAGATACGTATCTCCACCTTCACTGAAAATAACATTYATTTAAACTACACTGAAACTGGAAAGTGTTTTCCCCCATGAATTATGCTATTAATTTATTATTTTGAGATGCATAACTCCAAAGTAAATTGCCCTTGATAGTACGCCAGTGTACCCAAACTACACCTCTCTCCTTCCTTTATTAATTGATGCCCGTTGACTTAAGAAAAAAAATTCACCCATTGGTTATAATATTAACATCAAGCTTTAAAACTAATATGTACTTTGCCTCCACAAAAAAACCTACAAGTTCATGTCATTACAGAATATTTTTACATCTGCAGCTAAAAGCAGCCTCCAGTTCAGAGAAAATCATCCACACTGACAACATCCCATATCAAGTACTTCCAGACCATTAAGAGTATAAAAACACATACTTTTAATACAAACATACCAAAGAGGCCTGACAAGTTCCTTTATAAAGGTCAGCTGAGCTGTGAATGCTACAGAGAGCTGAGTCCAGCATTTGGTCAGACTGTCCTCTGGACAACTCACAGCTCTAATAGAAGATACAGATCAATTCTGAAAGTTTAAGATTGCTTCCAGGATGATCTAGTTAAATTGTATCTGATAACTACATCTAACAACAGCACTATTCAGTCACTAACAACTTTCCTACTCAAAGAAGCATCCTCCTTTTTTCTCTTTTAATCTGTAGCACCCACCCCTGCTCGAATCACAAACATATTTCAGGGGACTTGTTTGAAGAAACATAAATAGATCCTGCTGAAGGACTTATTTTCTCAAAATCCAAACCACAAACATCACTATGAGCCCCCAAACAGAAGGAAATAGTAATCAGAAGACTTGGAACATTCACTTGATGGATACTGCCATATGGTTTTAGTATCCAGACAGGACATCTTAGCTGGAAACTAAATGCTGCTTTGACAGCACTCATCTTTCTTACCTATTATGATATAAAACTCAGATCACATTGCTATCTCATGGTAACAATGACTCAACTGCACAAAACTTGCAAGTCAAAGTGCTGAATGTATTCCACAGCCACCAGCTGGGAGCAGAAGACAACTGAAGCCCCAGCCCCAGCCTGGAACACAAGTAAATCCTGTTCAGCTCCATCGATTGTATCTGTCMCTAATCCCCAAGAAAGCTACATCTTCTGCTCAGGTATTAAGGAAGGATAGAAAACTCATCCAAATGCATCACAACAGATTATACTGAAATTTATATAGATCAGCAAATTATTTTGGTTYAAATTTACAGATTATTCAGTTATGTACAGATTTGCCCAAGTTGCTACTACGACACATCAGTCTGGCTAAAACATCCCTATATTTTCACATATAAAATACTCTTCTTTAATTACATGTCAAAAGCATCATTTATTTGACTCTGAAAAAACTAAATACATGACATAGATTACCTAATGAAACAATACATTTTACATTTTCTTCTCAGAATTTCCTAACTGACATTATTTTTCATTTATAATCACTTGCTAAATTCCCCAAGCAAGATAATGCAATTTCGATATTGACCTTTTAGACTGCATATGGCAAATTTCATTACAATCTGAAAACCTCTTTCAAGAAGAATTCTCTTTTATCTTGTTTATCATATGAACCCTCCACCAATTATTCAAGGAAATTTGTGAATATTTGTCTCCATTTTTACATTTACAGAAACACAGATGTGTTTATAGAAGAACAGTCTTATAAAAATGTGACTATTGAAACCATGACCCTTTAAATGACATCAGTAAAGGTTAACAATATTCCTTCCAAAAGAATTCAGTGGATTTCCCTACTCTATTTGATGAAGCAAAACAAAATCCACTCACCAACATTCCTTATTTTTTCCAAAGCTCCTTGTCAATTCTGTCAGCCAAAATGTTTCCCAGCTCACAGTCCACCCTTATTTTCTATATTAAAACATCCTGAACTCTTTATAGTCCCACTTACAAAACAAAGTGAGTCATAATTGCCAAAACCAAAGCACACCTTATAAAWCCAACTTCTTGTGAGAAATGTCACAGTCTCGTAAGAGAGTAAGTTCTTAAGAGCTATTTTTCAGTCTGCAATTATTAGTATATTTAAGATTTGAAAAGTAAAAATACTGTATTTTTAAAAGATCCTTTCAGTACAAGATAAAAACCTATCAAGATTGTACAGCTTTCCTCAAAGGAGAACCCTTCTGTGCTCAAAATGAAGACTTTCGGTAAAGTTCAGAGTTCATTGAAATCCAGATGCTACATGACCCCTTCACTAGGATACAATGCCTTGAAGATTTACATCTTCAGCTTCAAGTGATGTGGACCTATAGAGTAACACCACCAAGATGTGAGGATCTGCTCTACCACATCTAATCCTCCAAGACTGATAATTCAAAACATTAAAGCTCCTCTCATTTTTAGAGCACCTTGAACTTGCAGAAGAGAACAGGGAGAGACTGTCATCAGCTCTCAAACACACCAGCCCTGGATGCTCTTCATGTTTCATTTATAATTTGGTGGGTGCCCTATCCCTCCCCTCAAGCCCACTGCCAGCTTACCCTGTGTCCCTGGGATCAGATGGTTGGGTGTTTCCAACTTCTCATGACAGCTTGAACTAAGGAAAACACAAAAAGTTGTTCAACTCCTCCCTGACCAGGTGGTGTTTTATCTGGATATCACCCATCCTCTGAATCCCCTGAGATTCACTAGATATTCTTCAAATGGCCCCCATCCCATATCCCATTACTGCACTGATTTTTAAAATATCAATATTCTCAATGTGACTTAATCWAAAGTGTTCAGAGGAGGTTTCTATGAGCTTCACTCAGAAGTCCCTAAATCTAGATTTGGAAAGAGCTCAATAGACAGTATGGCCTGAGAAGGAGGGTAAGGGTAGAAATCAAGAGGAAACAATCTGCATTTTAAAAAGCACCTAGGAATATGATATTGTAAATTCAGATGAGTAGCAACAAGCCCCTAATTTGCATTTTAGAAATCCATGAACAGCACAAAGCACCACAGAAGGAAGCCTGGCAAAATGCTCCATTACATCAACTGATAACAGGGAGATMCAGCTTCAGAGAGAAATCTAAAAAYTCTCCTTYATTCACGACTAGAAGGAAAAAGGATCAAGATGTTTTGCTGTTTAAAATAAGGCTTGGCAGAGAAGAGGTTAAGATATCACTGATGCATACTGCCATCAGCTTGAAATACACATGGAATCACCCCTTTTGAAAAGCCAGGTTAAAGCAAAGTAATAAAGAATTATGTGATTAAAGAGTTGTGAAAGAACAAGTAAAAGAGGATGTGCACAATAAATACTGCTATATTGACATCCTGCATTACCTTAAACAACAGAGTAATAGAGCCAGAAACAAAGGAGACTGAGTTTGTATGAGGAAGATAAAAAACCAGAACTACTAGCAAAATATATTTGCAAGTACAACTGGACATAAAAAGAAGCCAAAGCATAGAATGTAGAAGTGCTGAGACATGCTGCAATATGAATGTGATATGCAGGTAAAGTTTTACAGTGCATTTGGGATAAAAAACCCTAAAGATTCAAGCAACAAAATCAATCTTATTATGGTTGTAGAAGAGAAATGGAATGCAACWGAGAAAGAAGAGTATTTCAGTATGYTGGAGTAAAATATCCTTAAACTATGGCCGAAACCAAATAAACCTGATGTGCCAACATCATTATTTTAAATTGGAAAGAAATGTCAAAAACAACCCAAAAGAACTTTGTTGGTCCAGTAAAAATGTGGATGCATTTATAAGCAATAATAAGAACCAGACATTTGCATAAACCCTCTTGCAAACAAATACAAAATCAGGTAAACTGATCATAAAATAATAGTGGTCTCTATAAGTAAATTATGTGAAATTAACAACCAAAATGCTGGATTCAATTTCTGGGTTATCTTTTTCAATAGAGAAAGAGTAAGTTACATGAAACATATCTAAACTACAGTGGAGAGGAAAAAATTGAATTATCCCTTAGATCCTGCCACTAATAAGTTTTTCAAAAGCTCCAGATACTTGAAGGAACTGATGACTCTCATCCAAAAGCTATTTGTTATGAGGCACTTGAAATTATTTCTTTAATTAAGTACATTTAACACAGAAAAGTAATAAAATAGTCCCTAATAACCACACAATTTAAATGCATTTTCAAGCAAASAAACCCTGGCAAAGACTGAAAACAGATGATGCACTTGGCTTATTTGCACATTCACAAAGTTTATGACCATTGGTCTGATGAATCTGTTGAGCAGCTGACCAASCCTCTCTTGCCTAGACAGGAAGGAAAATTATACCACCACAGGACAGCTCCTCAGCTGGGACAAACCATTCACCACATAACTTCTACATTTTTCCTTTTCAATCAGCTGTGTGGTTTTCCATAAGAAAACCCTGGTGTGAGGCTTCTGCACAAATCCTCCTTAGTCTGTAGTGAGACATTGCTAATTCACTGCCTGGACCAACTGTTTTYGTAGGAACACCATGTACACATTCGATGCTGCACCAGAGCATTCTCCAGGAGACACCAAGCAGGCTGAGTTAGCAGCACCCGGGAAGAATTCATCACCATGAAAACCAAAAAGGCCCCAAACTGCAACATTACAGAAACATTTATAAGTGACCAAACAAAGTGAGACAAACCTGTGCTGGGACCAGTGCCATAGAAAGTGCAACAAGGAACAAGCACTGCTTGAAGAATCCAAAGATGAATCAGAATGTTACCTAACCAGAATGCCAAAAAGTTGCAGATGTTTTTCCTGCCAGTTTCTGGTTTTCACAGCACTTTGGAAAAGTACTCAGCACGCTATAGATTGCAGTGTCTCTAAATAGGTCTCAGAGAAATATCACCCAGACTCAACCTACTAAGCAGTATGAGAAGCACAGATTCCATGTCTGATTTTTAGAATAACATGAAGAAGATACTAAGACAGGGAATGTCCTTATTTCCATTGTGGAAACATAATTCCCTGAGGCTTTGAAGACAGCTACAACAGGAATCACAGACATTTTATTTTCTGACCCCACAGTTCTCAAGCATCTGCTTTAAACATTAACAAAAGAAGTCACACGGATGCCTTTGTTAGTGTTTGTCTTACCACTATGTAACAGCAGAATGAAATTACATTCTTATCTTAGTTTATATTAAACTATTCCTGATMAGCTGAATTTGTTTTAAATTCAACACATGAGCCAGGGCAGCCCCACCTGCAGGGAACCGAGAGAGGCCAGTTTTTTCATTTTTCAACAATTATTTCCAGTACATTGGAACAAATTCCAATAAACAGTTCCAAAACCTTAGTTCAACAATATTCCATTCTTCAAAAAGAATAAACGCAWTTGTATCAAATTGAAGAGTAATTCAACTAATACTTAGCTGTGATCATTTAAAAGCACTGGCACCAATTCCTGTAACCTATTAAGTACTGAAAATTTATAGACAGCTCACCTAAAATTATGAATAAGCTATTATTTGGTGTTCAGTTATTTTGTTAAATTTGTAACCAGCAAGGCAAAAATCTAGATGCCCTTTTTCCAGTTAATGGGAACACAGCAGAGAAAAATCACTCGGAATTATACAAAGGAAATGTAGGAGAAAATACAGTCTTCCTATTCCTTGTCACCTGAAGACCAGGCCATACAGATAAATTAGATAAACCCAACAATCTGTTGAAATAGATAAAAGATAACAGAATTYAAGAGCACAGTATTCTGCTGTGATGTTTCACATTTTTATATTCAAAGAATGCAGAAGGTAGCAACTCCTGTCAAGTGAAGAAAAATTAATTCACTCATTAATTTTGTCTTCATGAGTASATACCAAGTCTGATGAATCTTCACACCACTTGAATTTCATAACAGCAATAAAAACCATCTATGTGATCCTTTCTATCAAGTCTTAATGCCAATGTAGGATCTTCAACATTTCCATGCAGCCTCAAGAGACTTTAACTGTTTAAAATGTTCAACAGATAGTCCTTTTAAACTAGAACTTCTAACCAAAGTACCTGAGCCAGATCTCAGAGCAAGTATGGCCCCAAAAGTATCTATTTTCTAGGGAAGGGAAGGAAAACTCTCTGTATCATGCAGTACTGCTGCCTACAGAAAATAAACTGTTCTGGATGAACCAAACACTCCTAAAAGCTCTTTGAACATACAGTGACATAAATGACAGAATAAAAATACTTGGACTGGAACAATTAAATCTGGATACAAAGATGMAAGCCTAAGAACCCACAGATGTTCTTAACTGAGGAAGGAAAAAAAACCCAATAAAATACTACTACTACCACTGAAAAAAATTAATCCATAAGCAAACAGCAAYCCAGAGCAGGAGCAGTTAAACTTCCATTAAAAAGGATTGATGGTTCCAGTGTCTCCGTTCACCTACACTGGGTGACAGAACCACAGATAAGCTTTAACTGTTCTGTTAAGRAAACACTGCTAAGAGCAAAGATTAATAAAAATGAAACTAAAACAAGATTTAAAAAAAAAACCCACTACGTTAAAATCTAGTTTCCCTACCTAGTCTAGTCACTTTTCTTTGCCAAGTCCTTTATCTGGTTTCACACACCACCATTCTTTCACATTTAAATACCTCCTTGACATTCACATTTTCATCAAGAAACAAACAAAATACATAAAGAAAACTTAATCTCACCACCCAACACCTTCCAGTTGTCATTTCACTGAGCATTTAAGTATTAAGGAAAAAAACCTCCCGAATCCTTTCAGAAATTCTGAAAACCACCCTGTAATTTCTGTCTACTAAATTTAATTAGTGTTCAGTGTAGCAAAATACCATTGCTATGGAAATTCCTTACAGCATTATATCAGCCATATGCAATACTAATTTCTTCTTTCTACRATTTAAATGTGGTCTATCACAAAAGAGGCCCAGATTCTGGCACTATCAAATCCACAACTGCAAATAGTTATTATTTTATGGCTACAGTTTCCTAAACTGTATGGACTAAAAAGAAAACATATTCTTYGGTAAAGGGTGGTGGAATTTCAGTGAAATATTAAATAAAAAACAAAACAGGAATGTGAAGTATAGCTACAGATATTTCTAGAAGTGCAAAGCTATTTGTAAAAGTATAAAGCATGACAGAAGTAAATATTTTAAACAAAAAAATGTGTGCAAAGTTGAATGCTAAATAATACACTATTGAATTCTTTGGCTGCAGATTTTCTGAGTGACATTGTTTATTTCTTCTCTCCTATCCTCGATCTAAGAGTCTCTTTATATGAGTCAAGATTAATATTTTAATAAACTATCAACATCAACATTTAATAAAAACTCCACTATCTCTAATTTTCCCCAATATATTGATATAAAATTTTAAAGCTTTTGCTATTAGAAAATGACACTATAAAACTGGAGGTAATGGCTTCTGAAAACTCTTAAAGCAAAGCACAAGTTCAGATCCTGCAAGGAATCCCAAGCAGAAAAAGCAATGCATTGGCTTTGAGCTCCATGCAGAACTGGAGGCATTTTTAAATACATGTCAAACACTGAGACATTCGTGAATAAGTATAAAATATTATTTTTAAATATCAGTTAGAGATTAATSTCTCTGGATTCAAAGCGTCTTTCATATTCTGCCTCCGCAAACACACAAAACAACCCTCAAAACAARAAAGTGCCTAATTACAAGATAAGGTGGTCCCATCTTTTTGGAGAACTAACCATAATAACATATTTATTATTTTTCTTGTCTAAACCTAATAATAGCAAGATTAGAGAGTTTTATATATAAGCACACAATAATTATTTAAACAGACTTAAAAAAAATCTAAAAATCCATTTTCTTTGGTATTTTTGGCTGCCTTCAGACACTTTCAGGACACTGAAATAATATCCAAACCTTACMATTAATAAATCTACTACCCATAGCATAAAAAGCAGTATATTACCTTAAAAATACATTTGGCATAGACTAAAGTAATTTATTAAGGTTCACCTTCAGCACACAGTTGCRTAGTCCTCATTAGTTAAATCTGATGACATTTCAGTTGAAAGCAATGCAAGATGTAAACTACCAAATGTTTGCTTACCCAAATTCAGACACAGTAGAAGAAAAAAAAAAAAACCCGTAATAAATACACAATAGCACGACTAATCCGAAACTCTAACAGACCACACAATTTATCTACATTTGTGGCATTTCACTATTCTTTTCTGCAAAGACACACAGCTTTTATGAATAAATCCATAAAACTTTTTTTAAAAACAAAATTATTTAGAAACTTATCTGTAAGTGAACTCATCACAACCCTTTTCACTTACTATTGGTTGCTTCTTTTTTCAAGAGTTAAACTCTATTTAATAGTAAAAAAAATAGAGAATATTTAGGAACATCAGCAGCAGCAAAAATCAGGTGTTACCTGGCAAAATATTTCAGAYGCTAATTTTATGAATACTTAACTACAAATATAAGCCAGCTTCTTCCAGGAAGGGAATGAATAACTTCTACCCAAACTTTGGCTTTCTGGAGCATCATATCTTTTGAACATCCTAAAATTTATGCTTTGGATTTTTCTCCACATCAAACAATAATTTTTAGAAAAAATACAGAAATCAGATGGGCTTTCAAGCTCATTGTTTCTCAAAAAATGTAGTTCTAATTTTTATTGAAAACATTTATATTCTCCAGAAAAATGAAATTTAACCAAGTATCTTTCTACAATGGGAAAAATTTATATTGAATAATTTTACCTTCAGAGTTATGCGTAGTTTTCTTGTGTTTTCGACATAAAATCCTATAAACAAAGTAGTTGAAAACTGTCAAGTCAGTCACGATTCACAGATTATTTACTCATCTTTTTAATTCAAATGCCAGTACATTTTTCTCCCACTTGTAAGACTCACTGATATACAAATCTTGCAGTGAAAATATGCTTTTCTAGCACATCACTATTTTGAATGCCACAATCATAATTACAATTTTTTGCAATTAGAATTTTTGTTTAGATTCCAAAGTGGGGTTTTGTTTTGCTTTGTTGTTTGTTTGTTTTTTAAACTAAGAATGTAAAATAGAAATAAAGAAATAAACATAAGAAATAAATAATAGTTACATGTAAATGCCTTGTGAAGGCTTCTCTCTTATCTGAGCTTTATCATGCAAAGCACAGTAGTAGTGATATGTCTTGTGACACGTTTTCACATCACAGCCAATGGTCGCTCCGGGACAGTGGCATAAAGAGCACATCTAGAAAGAAAAAGAAAGCACAATTCATGATTTATGCACTTGGTACTACTCTTCCTGCTCTCAGGTGTTTTTCATAATTTATTTTTAAAATTAAGAAATTTGTTACACGTGTGCAACTGTGCAATAACCATCAGATGCCTCATCAACTCAACCACCATCATCAACTCAATGAAGAAAAAAAATAATTTATTTTTGTGGAACAGATCACATGAAGGGACACAGCTGTTCACCTAAATATCCCTCTCACAAGGACAGTCTGTACCAACCATTTCAGAAAAAAWTAAATCATAGTTGTACCTGTTTAATTCTGAATTACATTATGAAGACAGGAGGAAAAAAAAGATTACACATAGTTGGGAATGAGTCCTGCAGTCAGGAATACTGATGGCCTGCAAATTCACCTCAGCATCAGCCACCAAGTTTACCTTTTCTTCTACAGTCAAGTCCTTAAGTTCTTTCCAAAACACTGAATTTAGTGAAATATTTGTTAAATACAATGAACTTATTTCAACTCAACTAAATTTTGCTTTTTATACTTGTATTGCAAAAAAAGATTAAAAGTGAGCCTGCTGCTTTGCTCTTCTTTCCCATTAATTAATTCTTCTTATATCAGACACGTAGATAACACCAGTTATCTTCCTTCTAAATTGCACATGATTCTTCTTATACTGTGGTAAGAAAGGAAGTAATTGACAATATCACAAGATTTTTCTCTGTATTGCTCTCTACTGGCTTAATATTCCCAAAAATCTCTGCATTTCCCAGTAAACTCATCTCCCAAGAAAACTGGCGCTTATTTGTATCCTGCATATTGCTCATGCCCACAAAAGGTTACAATCAATTCCAAATCTAAGTGTGCAGTGTAGGATACTCCATAGATATATACATATCTTTGTGGATACATTTTCTGTCCACTGTACTCATTTAGTCGAGTTCYTCTTGCTATTCTCCAATATGCCAAAAAAATAAACCACCAAAGTTACCACATATACCACCAGCTTGTTATCCAATTTTAACGAAGTCAACTGAACAGTAAAAATGTCAAAGCCTTGGATCATCTCCATCTACTCCTCTGCAAGTTCTGAAATGGTACAGTTATATACCGTTCCCTGGTTGTTATATATTTTGTATGGGCATTTTATATCATAGATCTGTTGTACATTATGGCTTAATATATAATTGCTGATCAAAGTCCTTTTGAAAAGCCTATGCTAATATACTCGTCCAATCAAGCTCAGTCAGAACCTCAGGTTTTTGAAAGGCAGAAATGACTAAAAGAAAACTCTCTTTTTATGAACACCATGATGTGTCTGYAAAACAGAGTACACAGATTTTTATATTGATTTATTGGTCCATGTTTCCAATGAGTATTAAAATAGTTATTCCATTGGCACATGTCCTGCTGTCCAAATCCTAATTCCCAAGTTAYATCAGGTATACGTTGCATTTGATAAGCTGCAAATTATGTATGTTCTTTAAAAAAATCTTCCTATGCACAGATACTAGAAATAATATAGTTAATACATAATTAAGTTATCAATGACTTGTACTTCCAAATTTAGACTTAAAAGCTTYTGTGACTTGTACCAAGGTTTGAACCTATAACCTTTTCTCAGACAGATCTATCACCACCAGAAAGTCTCTACAAGTCGGTCACTGTCACTCTGGTAATGAACAGGTCCCCTTTGTCAGTGCCCATGTGGCCAGCAGCACCTCCTGAAGGAGGCCAAACTGAGCCCAAGACATCAATACATTCACCTAACCCAGTGCACTCAGGTTTTTCACTGAATGTGTTCTCCCACAAAGGACCAGGCTAGACCAGCACAGACCTGAGAGAGGGGATCTRAACTAATGACAAACATTTACCTTTAAACTTTAGGTTTTACCAGATGCTGGTAAAGGCACAATAACACCCTTCCCAGGGCCCTAAAACACGGGTTTCTTTCAGAAATCTAACAAAAAAATATTAAATAGACTAAATATACTGAACATCTTCCTTGTAAACTTTATGGAAGGTATAAAAATATTTCCTCCATTTTCAAGAGCCAAAACAGAGACTCACCAGTTTTGTGCCTCTCTTTATTTCCTTCTGAATATCTTCAATAGAGAATCCACCAAGACTCTCATTATCAGTGTGTGAAGAAACCAGTGCGGATGAGAACAGCTAAAATTGMAAAGACAAAACTTGTATTTTAATTTTTATGGGTATAAGTGATAGAGCAATTTACAGATATGAAACTCAACAACAGCAGTGGTTAAAAACGTGTGCCAATTCCCATCTGGTTGTCTTTTCCACACGTTTGCAGCGTTTTTCCAGCTCCATCCCATCCATTCCTGGTCACTCACCATACACTTGTGATGTGCCGCCACCTTCTGGTTCTCCGACATCAGCAACTGCCCACATTCGTTATCTTTATTCGACCGACAGAACCCACACTTCCTTTGTCTGGAGGAGACTTTCTTCTGTCCGACTGAGCTTGTCATGATTTTAAATGACCTTAGAATGCCACTGCAATCCTCTCAATGCTACAGGGAAAACAAACGTGCAATCAGCATGTTAACATCAACAAAAGGCAAGTTAATTTTGTTTTATAAATATAATACTGGATGTTTGGAAGTGATTTGTCCCTTTTCTTTATGTAACTTCAATATATCCAAATAAACATGCAACTAGTAGAGGYAGTATTTTGCYAGATTTTTATGACATATTAACAGCAAGAAAAAGACAGTTCCTTTAGGCAAAAAAGTTTGAGAATTTATATAAAACTTCAGATACTAATACAAAAGCAGAAAAGGGAAATGAAGAAATAAATGGAAAATACAACAAGGGAATCACTGGGGAAAAATATAACTGCGATTCATTTTTACAGTTATTAATTATAGGAAAGGAATTTGTAGAAAATATATATATATATATGTATATGTGATGAAACTCATGGTACTTATCTCCTTCAAAAACAACCAAAGAAAAACCCTGAGTCCAGCACAGCCTCCAGCACAAGTTTTGGGGTGAAAGCTCACAAAGTGTCAGGGCAGAGGAGTAAAGAGTAGAAGTGAAATTACAAAACGTTACCATTTTTGGTATCTTGTGGCTATTCAAACAGCATTAGGAACAAAATTATAGACACCTCCCTGGCCAAGGCACTGCAATGGAAACCTCTCTGTGACCCACAGCTGCTTTGGCAGTACCACACCAGATATCAGTAAGTGCAGGAAAGCTGCTGTTCACAACTCAGAAAGGTAACTTGAAATTAACCCAGTATGAATCATGAACTTTTCCTGTGCTACCAGCAACACATTTTAAAATGTAACACTGAGATCACAGTGCCCAACTCAGGCAGACATCACTCATTCAAAAGTGAAAATACCCAATGGGCGTATAAACTTCTTGGCCTGGTATTAAGTTTGTGTTCATTTGCTTCCACGTCTACCAAGAAATAAAAATATTATCTTCTTCAAATTAAGTTTCTTAAGAGCTTTTTACTTTCGAGATCTGAGCCTTACTGTCAGAATTTGCCTCAACAGCTATAAAAYACTCAGTCTTTCTCTTCATTTGACTCAGCTAAGAAAGAAAAGACAATGTTTAGTTACATATTTGTGTTGGAAAGAAGTGTAAAATAAAGGCATAAGAAGAGCAGAGTTGCAAAACATCTGGACTGGGCTACAATGGCACAGATCTGCATGAAAATGCACAACTGGTCTCTGGAATTTACACASGCAGCCCCGGAGCTCCCCAGTGCTGTCAGAAGCTCATAATGCTGGTATCACTCACTCCTGCTCTAACAGAAAGCACAGGAACGTCCTCAAGTTTCTGTCGGCGTGTCCTCCTGCTGACAGACACTCCTGCTGCCGCCTTCTGCTTCAACAGATTTTCAGACTGAGTTGTAACTGTTGGCCTTGCACTGTTTACTGCAAAACTTCTGCCTCAAAAGGTGTCTGTCCTGTCCCCCTCGCCTTTGCTCTCCCAACAGCTTCATTTGCTTTCTGTTCTGAGAACAGTTTACACCGCTGACGCACACTCGGAACAAGAATGCAAAGATTTCAGATCTTGCTGATTTGCACAAAAAATGTGCCAATCTGGATAAACTAGTCACACCCTTTTGCAGTAGCAATAGAGTCCTTAAGTGTTAAACACAAAAGAATTATTATAYTGTATTCTTCTGAAGAAAAAATAAAACAAGGCTATTCTGTAATCCCTTCTGAGGAAAAAGAATGGTTCCTGATGGAAAGCTATATATAAATATAGATATATATATGTTTATACAAAAAACCATATTTTTTTTTTAAATTTAAGTAATATTTGTGAGCAGAAGAAGACCTACAAAAGACAAGCAGGAAATAATATCATGAGGATTTCTTGTTTACAGCTCACATTAAATAGTTCAACATAAATCACACAGCCATGTTTAGAAATATACTAACAAAATGCAAGTATGAAAATGAACAACAAAATAAAAAATGCAAGAAGTTCTGTTTGTTATAAACAGTGTGGTATACATACAATCATTTGGGTCTACCTGTCTCATTTTATATTCAGATTATATTATTAAAATATTGACAGCAATGACAGTTCTTAAAAGGAAGATCAGGAATTTCCTTGAACATGTGCACAGGTTCTATTGACTCCTAAGAATAGGAATTACTATTAAAACAGAGCTACCCTTCAATTTAAGAAGCAGGACCGTATTTTARAAAATGGAAGTAATTTATAGAGCACATAAAATTTTCTGAGTGGCTCTCATCATATTTAATTTATAGGAAAAACAACTTTCSGAGACACAAGATTATAAAGAACCTTCTCACAGCTCGCTGCTTTCCACCTCSCAGTGCACTACAGGCATGTCACTGCAGCAGCACCAGAACCTGACACAGCCTGACTTCCTTAAGTATTTCTGTATAATTAGATATTTTAAGGCTCACAATGAAGTTTAAAATAATGCCAATCTTTACTCGATACRTGGATGCTTATGTTTTTAAAATATGCAAATATGTTTTGAAATACTTTACAATTACAAATAATTTAACACTTGAAAAATTATTCAAAACTCAGACCAAAAAGGAAATTCACGTTCTTTTCACCATCAGATTAAATTACTCTGAAAGCATTTTACAAGGTAACTAGAAGTTTTCTTTCCAACCCTGCATTCTTTGCATTTGTTTTTTTCTGTATCACTGGGCATTTACACTATTTATATATGTTTAAAGATTGTAGAAAAAAAACCTGAGCATGAAAAACATCTATAGACGTCTCCATAAATTATATTTGCTTTCTCATAAATGTGAGAAAACACTACACTCGGATAACTTTTCTTTGTGTCAAAATGCGYTTATCTTGTCCATTAAAAAAAGAAACAAAACCCATTTTCTGAAAAAGATGGACCAACTTATGCAGTTAAAGCCCCRTAATTCTGAATGCAAGCACTCAAAATTCTGTTTTCATCTCTCAAGTTAAATCACCCAGAGCAACTAATATAGTCTGCCAAGTATTAAGCAGAATTTAATTGGAATGAGAAAACTGCAACTTAAAACCAGCTCAATATTTTGGTTTTCCACATTTAAAAGGCTAACAAATGAGTAAGAATTACAAAAAATATTGATTATATCTRCTGTTGACAAGAGACTTGCTTGTCAGCTTTGTCAAAGTCTCACAGACTGGATCACAGAGAGTGACGTACTTTGGAATCACTGGCTGGGAGATTTTGCGCTGTCTCCACCAAAACAGAACACACATACTGCAAACACAAACATTACTCCATACAGATCAGTTTTCCATGGGTTTTATCTAAGAAATGAGAAGTTACTCGTACCCTTGAATCACCAAAGGAGAAATTCCCTCAACTGTTCTTCACTGAAAAATCAGGGTTCAATTGCATCCACATTTCTTATGTCCACTAAAGTATTAAATGTGGTGCTTTCCCCCACAGCGTCTTTATTTTATCTTGAAAGCAGCAGGTTGACACCTTCCCGCAGCTTTCTGTGGTGCTTTACTGAGCTCTAGACGACAGAGTTCCCAATATAAAAGTGCAAGTTCAATAACTCCTAGACACAGGATGCCCTCAGTGCACGAGACACTGTTCAGCACCAAAGAACAGAAAGTAACCTGGACTCTAATTTCTATTTATTGAYCAAAAATGTTTCAGGAGCCTGTTTRTAACARTTAAAACMCAACTTGWATTTCCTACAAAGGACAGCGACCTACACGTAAAGCGACCTGCACTTGTAAAGTTTGTTTTGCTGCGGGATGCCCAAATTATATTTCAAAAAATTACAATTTGCATTTTTGAAGAAAATTTCGGATACCTAAGGAAAAGCTACAAGAAGTGAACAAGCTTCTGAAAATGCCACTGAAGATGCTGAAGCGGTTTGGTCTCTCAGGAAAAGCTACAGAAAATATTTGTGCTGATTTTTCCAAGATGCTTACTGGAGATACCAGAGTCACAAACTTACAAGTGCTTCGCAGTTTCCCGGGATGATCACCCATTGTTGGGGGGGATTATTTTGGAGTAGGATGGGGGTGAAGAAGGGGAGAGGGAAGGTATCCTATAGGGTTTTTGGGCTGAGAACCCAAATMACGGGTCCCACAGAAATTTTGATCCAGAAGTTCCATGCACACAGCATCCTAMAGCCACTACAAAAAGGATAGGAATTTATCCATGTAACTTCCTTAAAAAGCCCAAAACGACACCGAAGAGGAGGCAGATGCGAGAGAAGTAGGGCAAACCCTCGAAAGCCTAAACAATGAGAGCAGAGCAGGTGACTAAAAATGACACAGAGAGAGCCCGCGGTCAGGGAGATCTGGCAGACAGAGCTGAGGGWTCTCCAGGAAAGTTTACATCCTCCCACGGGGAGCGGGAGATGGGCCGATAGCGGCAACTCTACCGTCGCCTCCCCGGGGGATCCACGGGGCAGGACGGCATCTCTCGGGGAGGAACGGCCCGACCTCCCCGCGAGGCCCGGCCGGCACCGCCGGACCCCGACCCCTCCCCGGGCGAGGGGCTACCGGGGGGAGCGCGGGGGGACGCGGGAAGGGCARCCCCCTCCCAGCTCCATGAAATTTTGGGGAAAACGGGACCGGSAGACAAGGGGGGGCGGATCCTCCCSGCAAAGAAGGCGCGGGCCACGGCGGGCGGAGCGAGCGGTACCGCCGGCCCGGGGAGGGGGCAGAGGGGCGGTACCGGCACCGGGGGCACCCCTGAGGGGATACTGTGGGGCGCCGCGATCCTCGCGGGGCTGCAGGGGCCGGCTGAAGCCCCGGGACCGGCGGCGGCGGAGGGCGGACGGGCCCCGGGCCGGGGGCTGCGGCGGGC